AAAAAACACGATATTTAAAAGACCCTTTGAGCAAAATAATACAAATGAAACACTATACGTGAAAAGACCCATTGGGCAAAATTATACAAAAAAAAAAATTAAAAAACGATAAAAAAAGAAGAAAGAATGGCGTCTAGAATAAATTTGTAAAAAACGCAAAATAAAATCCCAAGAGAATTGGGAAAAGGTACAATCAGGCATTGAGAGTAAAGTAGCTGTAGGAGAAACATTGCGGTCGCTGGAAAATAAATTAGAAGAGGCTACAGTTAATCATGAGTAAATGCGAAAATGCTCTGGGTGAGAAGCATGACCCCAACAAAAAGGCGCAATAGCTTCACCACAGGAGGCAGAAATGAAAGTAAAAGAGGTGCACCCAGAAGAGTCTAAAACCTTTTGGATCTACATCTAAAAAACTTCCAGAAACAAATGCAGATACAGATACAAGAAGCGATAAAAAGACAATTGGAACTGAATATGCAAGAGAAATTGCAGACAATGCAAGAAGTGGAAGGGACGCTGCAGGATGATTCAATATGGGAAAATACAAGCAACAAGAAAGATCGACAGATGTGGCGGAGAAAAAATTATGCAAGTTTTTCAAAATATCAGGACATGAGATCGCATATTGTAGAAAATGTTTGTCATTGGATTCGCGGGAAAGATACGATTGGGCAAAGTCAGCGCAAATATGTTTCAAATGCCTGAATCATGGAACGGAAAAAAGTGCTACAGTGAAATGAAATGTCAATCTAGCAGATGCAGATTTCAAATTGTGGGACAAAACACCAAATTGGTCTGGTAATAATAAAATGTCTGGAACAACAATTGAGCGGTTTAGGGAGTACGAGGAAATAGCAGATGAACAAACCATCCGGGAAAGTGACTTTTGTCTTAAGTTAGATAACACAGACAGATTCATCGTTCGCTTGCCATTTACTGAATAAAAGGATTTAGGAGAATCATACAAGAGAGTAATGGCAAGATAATTAAGCTTGGGGAAAATGTTAGACATCGTTAAAAAGTGGAGAACGTGGAAGTTTGTCATTTCTGCAGATGTCGAGAAAATGTTTAGACAGATAAAAGTAGCAGAGCAAGATCAGTATTACCAATGTATCCTTTGGAGGAGTTGTAAGTCCGAGCCAATTAAACAGTATAAACTCACCACAGTTACATACGGAACCACTTCAGCACCATTTCTAGCAGTAACAACGCTAATAGAAATTAGAGATAGATGTAAAGATCAGAGAATTGCGGAAAGAACCAGCTGGAGACTTACGGATTCCATTTAAGAAAATGGAGTGCAAACACACCAGAAGTGCTAAGAGCTGTAAGGCGGAGGAAAACGAAGTGCTGCATATTCAAGAAGATGAGTGTTCAAAAACACTAGGGCTGCAATAGAATCCGACAACGGATTGCTTTACATTTAATATGCAGATCAACAATGAAAACCAGATAACAAAACGATTAGTGTTATCGAACCTACAAAGATTTTTGATTTTGGAGGAAAATGAAGTGCTGCATATTCAAGAAGATGAGTGTTCAAAAACACTAGGGCTGCAATAGAATCCGACAACGGATTGCTTAACATTTAACATGCAGATCAACAATGAAGACAAGATAACAAAACGATTAGCGTTGTCGAACCTGCAAAGATTTTTGATTCATTGGGTTGGTTGACTCCAGTAACAGCGAAAATCTTCATATAGAATCTGTGGAAACAACAGTTGGAGTGGGATATTCCTTTGGAGGAAAAGTTGACTACAGAGTGGAAGCAGTTTATGCACAGTCTTCCTGTGCTTAAGAACGCATAAATCACAAGACGGTTTGAAATATCAGAAAAAAGTACATAAATAATGGGAGTGTCATGGTTATATGTCCACAAATGTAAAAAAGCAATTCATTTTTTATTAATCGTTTTAATATAAAAATGTACATGTTTGGAATTTGGATTATTAAATTCAAAATTCAGAACCCATAATCCATGTTTTCAATTTCAATGCTTTGATATCTCCAACTCTTCAAGGAATCCCTAGGAAATGGTGGAAAAAGCAACATCCCTTTCAAATTGAAGTTAAAATATACGTATTCAATTCACGGTCGGCGTTGTCGTTTTTATACCCTCCACCATACTATGGAGGGTATATTAACTTTGTCATTCCGTTTGTAACTCCTCGAAATACTCATGTCAGACCCAACAAAGTGTATATATATATATATATATATATATATATATATATATATATATATATATATATATATATATATATATATATATATATATAATATAACGACATTATTCAATGGTATTGTTTCAAATTTAGTATTTGAAGTTCGAAATGGATACTACAGCCTATGACAGAAAATTGTCTTTGCAGGTCCACGTCTTCGAATAGCCCATATGTAACGGCACCTCACTATATTCGATATTTTGATGACTTTAGCTACATTCGAAAACATTACATATGCAGCCGTCGTATACCTCAAGGTGGAGTCCAAGATAAAAGAAATAGGAAGACTCTACCCAAGCTGGAATTGTGTGCAGCACAGCTCTTGTCAAAACTATTGCAAAAAATAAATGACTTTTGTTAACGGTTACAACAATCTATGCATGGAGTGATTCCATGATAACACTGGATAGTTCAAAAAATAAAGAAAAATTTATAACACGTAAAAAATCTGTAAGTTCAGCCGGGCCGAACTTTGAATATCCTCCACCATTTGGAACGAATTTGGCAATTCTTACAAACAATAAAATCCGTCCAAAATTCTGTTAAAATCTTAAAAATACCGAATGTAGCCATTATATTAGGGTCTATACGATGACATGGACCTGCATAGGTAACTTTTGTCATAAGCCATTACAATATTCGAATGCGAAACTTAAAAAAATCGGTAAATAATGTAGTTAAAATCATCTAAATACCGAATATAGGGAGGTATCGTTATATGGGGGCTATACTAAGACGTGGACCTGCACAGACAATTTTCTGTCATAGGCCTAGGATCTTCAAAAACCAAATTTGAAACAATTCCGGTGAATAATGTCGCTAAAATCGACAAAATACTTAATATCGCGAGGTACCGTTATATAGGGTTTGTACGAAGACGTGGACCTTTACAGACAATTTCCTGTCATAGGCTGTAGCAAAACTACAACAAAAACAAATCTACAACAACCACATATAAAATTGTTGCTGTACATAATGGGAATGTCATGGTTATATGTCCACAAATGTAAAAAAGCAATTCATTTTCAATTAATCGTTTTAATATAAAAATGTACATGTTTGGAATTTGGATTGTTAAATTCAAAATTCAGAACCCATAATCCATGTTTTCAATTTCAATGCTTTGATATCTCCAACACTTCAAGGAATCCCTAGGAAATGGTGGAAAAAGCAACATTCCTTTCAAATTGATATTAAAATATACGTATTCAATTCACGGTCGGCGTTGTCGTTTTTATACCCTCCACCATGCTATGGAGGGTATATTAACTTTGTCATTCCGTTTGTAACTCCTCGAAATACTCATGTCAGACCCAACAAAGTATATATATTCTTGATCAGCCAAAATTCTAAGTCGATTTAGCGATGTCCGTCTGTCTGCCTGTTGTAATCACGCTATCTTTCGAACGAATTGAGATAGAAGGCTAAAATTTTGCACACATGTTTATTTTTCAAGTAGGCAGGTTAATTTCGTAAATGGGCCATGTAGATCCACGTTTTCATATAGCCCCCATATAACGGTATCTCCAGATATTCGGTATTTTGATAATTTTAGCGACATTATTCAATTGTATTGTTTCAAATTTAGTATTTGAAGTTCGAAATGGATACTACACCCTATGACAGAAAATTGTCTGTGCAGGTCCACGTCTTCGTATAGCCCACATGTAACGGCACCTCACTATATTCGATATTTTGATGATTTTACATCAATTATTCACCGTTTATTTCAAGTTTGGAATTTGAATATGGTAATGGATTATGACAAACAAAGCCTATGTAGGTCCACGTCGTACAGACCCCAATATGACGGCTAAATTCGGGATTTTTAAAATTTTAACAGAAATTTTTAAGGATTTTATTTTTTGAAAATTTCCAAATTCGTTCCAAATGTTGGAGGGTATTCAAAGTTCGGCCCGGCCGAACTTACCTCTTTTTAACTTGTTTAAATGAAAGCAACTTTTTATTCCTATTATCAGGGCGAAGACTCCACAATGCACTGGTATATGTTAGATAACAATACTTGTAGTAAAATAGTGTCTACATAGGTTCAAGTTTTGGTATTGCGCCCCTACCGGTAGCTCCCGATGCTTGGTAATTTGGTGATTTTAGCCACATTTCCACGTAATTTATCCAAATTTGTTATATTTTAGCTTAACATCCGGTGGCCGAATATTTTCTATATACATAGGTCTACGTTTTACTTTATGCTCTGTTCCAGAACCTGCAAGAATCTACTACCTTTGCATTTTTTCTATATCATAAAGGAACAATCGGTTATCATAGTAAACACTTTTACATTTTTGCAGTTCTGGGACAGAGCTGCAGTTGTACGAACATAATTTACTTTGGTAAGTGTAGTTTGTAATAGGTTCTAACTCCGAATGTTATAACTATATTTCAATGTATGAAAATATATAATGTATAAAAACGCAATATTTATCTCGATTTATGCGATGTAAATGTTTGAAGGCAATACTAAACCCAAAAGTAAATGTTTTTTTTTCTTTTTTGTCTGGAAACTTAGCTAAGCAGTAGTTGCCGTGCTGAGCAATTTCGATATTAAATTCAAAATTGCTGCAGCTGATCACTTTTATTTTGTGTTAACTAACGATTTCAAAAATTTTTAACGCATTGCTACATTGTGATATTGCTTTGCTCATTAATGGGCAACATTTTTGATATGAATTGGCGTTAGCATTGGAAACCCTGTCATTAAATAATTCGTATATGGTCACATTTACAAAATATTTTTATACATAACAAAATTACCTGGAATAATTGCTTCTCAAGATTCGTTCAGCCCATGTCTGTGGTCTGGGAATTTCTCTTGAGACCCCTTTCTGCCTTTTGTCTAAATAATCAATGACGTCATCGTAGTAGTTCGTTCTATAATTATACATATATTTGTACTGCAGGAATTTGGGTCTTTAAAATAGAAGATATATTGTTAGTTACTTCCTATTAATTCGACATCACAACTATTTACCTAACCCAATGTCTATACAACTGAACTGGTTTTCTGTATCCATCATCTTCTACTGGTGGTGGAGGTGGAGCTACTTCAGCATCCGCCGTATCCGATATTACTGCAGAAGGGGCATCAGCTACAGGCGGTTGACTTTCTAAAGCTGCCGCTTGTGGAACAACAGTGACTTCAGGCTGTTGCTCAGAATCATCAGCTCCCCATGGATCCTCCTCATCTCCCATTTCTGGAAATACAAATTATTAAAAAAAACGTACATAATTTTGTCCATATCAGAGAAAATAGGGAAAATTTTTGTAGAATTTGTTTAAGTAGGAATTGCTGTTTAAAATTACATATTATTTAGATACACGCAGCCTTTCAAAGTTTTCTACTCCTTATTGCAACATACTTGATAAACTGATTTTAATGAAAATATTGATTTAACATATCGCCACCCTTTTTATACCCTCCACCATACTATGGAGGGTATATTAACTTTGTCATTCCGTTTATAACTCCTCGAAATACTCATGTCAGACCCAACAAAGTATATATATTCTTGATCAGCGTAAAATTCTAAGACGATTTAGCCATGTCCGTCTGTCTGTCTGTCTGTTGTAATCACGCTATCTTTCGAATGAATTGAGATAGATGGCTAAAATGTTGCACACATGTTTAGTTTTCCAGTATGCAGGTTAAGTTCGTAAATGAGCCATGTAGGTCCACGTTTTCATATAGTCCCCATATAACGGTACCTCCCGATATTCGTTATTTTAATGATTTTAGCGACATTATTCACCGGAATTGTTTCAAATTTGGTATTTAAAATTCGAAATGGATACTACACCCTAAGACAGAAAATTGTTTGTGCAGGACCACGTTTTCGTATAGCCCCCATATAACGCTACCCCCCTATATTCGGCATTTTGATAATTTTAGCGACATTATTCACCGGAATTGTTTCAAATTTGGTATTTGAAGTTCGAATTGGATACTAATCCCTAAGACAGAAAATTGTCTATGCTGTTCAGGTCTTCGTATAGGCCCCATATATCAGTACATCCCTATATTCGGTATTTTGACGATTTAGGTACAATACCCACCGAAATTGTTTGAGGTGTGGTATTTGAATATTGTAATGGATGCTACAGCCTGTGACAGAAAATTGTCTATGCAGGTCCAGGTCTTCGCACAGCTCCGATATAACGGTACCTCCCTATATACGATATTTTGATGATTTTAGCAACATTATTCACTGTTTATTTCAAGCTTCAAATTTGAATATGGTAATGACTTATGTCAAACAATGCCTATATAGGCCCACATCGTATACACCTCAATATAACGGCTATATTTGGTATTTTTAAAATTTTAGCAGAATGTTTTAATAATTTTTTTTTCTGAAATTTTCCAAATTAGTTCCAAATGGTGGAGGGTATTCAAAGTTCGGCCCGGCCGAGCACAATTTCGGATTGTCTACTTATATGGAATAAAAACTTTGTGAAACGGCTTTATTTCACTCTTCTCTCAAGAAGGAAGAACTGAGGACTCTCTTCCGATGGCTGTATAAAGCTGTGGTGTGGCCCATCCTTTCTTATGTAAGTCTTGTCTGGTGGTACGCATTAAATCTGAAGGTAAATAGTTCGAAACTATCCATCAAGCAGCTTCAATTCTAGTCACAGCCGCATCAACAAGTACACCTCAAGTAGCCTTAAATGTAATGCTCAATATCGCTCCAGTTGAACTTAGTATACAGTACCAAGGAGGCACGAAGAGCGATAACGCTGTCAAAGTAGGATATGCATTGTAATATTGAATGAAATGAAGAAGTGGATGAATCGACAAGGATGGGCTCGCAGTCAACAGACCTTGAAGCCGCCGACATGTCAACAGAGCATTAGAAGTACTCTTCAAGGAGAAAGCCAAAAGATGCTCGTACAACGAACCACGGTGCAAGGTATCAAAACAATTCTGGCCAGATATATCCTTGCATAGAACTCGGTCTCTATTAAGCATGCATAAATCAACGTTACGGATAACAATAGGGATACTAACAGGCCACCGCAACATCCGATCAAGGATGTCCAAATGGGCTTACACTAACGTTGAATACTGCAGGCTGTGCAAAAATAAGGAAGAGAATGAAACGATCCAAGGCCTTTTATTCCACTATCCTGATCTATCAAGGGACAGACAATGAACTATGGGGAACACTCGAATTATGATCTCAGTGGTTTTATAAAAAATTTGGGTCCAAAAAATCGGTAATTTGACTATAACATCCGAACCGCTTATAAATAACCCCAGCAAGTGACCACTTCTTGAATAGGTATTTTATAAGCTTTCAAACGATACCTATATTGTATTTATCGGGTAAGCTGGTCTAGCACGGTTCTTGAACTCGGACTTTCGGGTCAAAAATCTGGATCCGGCCCCAAAAAAACAGTTCCCCGGAATCATGTCAAAAGTGCCTATCTCTGAAAAACTGAGCTAGAGTTGTTCCCTCACCTCTTAATGTTACTGACAAAACGACTTATTAGAAGAGTAGTATAACACGACGACAGTAATATCAAAAAGCAGGCGTCTCGGTTGTGTATCGTACCAAACATTTTAAACACATTTTAGTTAACGCCGATGCGGAAATAATTTGTCGTGTAGAAAGACAACTGTATTTTGACAACAAATGTTTTTTTTTTAAGTGAAAGACAAAATCAAGCTACATAATCCTAGATTTTGACGAAATGTGAACGATAAGAAGCTAGAACTGTGCTTCCCTATTGGTACAGAACCCGATCAAAATTATTTGTTTATGATGCAAAAACTACGAATAACTGCATTCATTGAATAATATTCTCCAAAAACTTTTGGCGTAATGTATTATTATAGAAATGATCACAAGCAGCACAAATTCTAATGAATATAATACATAATATGTGTAAAAATTGACCAATAAACTGAAACAATCGGTATTTTATTAATATCCCTGAAATAGTTATACACAAATCCCTTGAAAAAAATGGATAATACACCCCAGAATAAATATCGTTCTTATTTTCATTTATGGACAAATAATTTTAAAATCGTTGTTTGGTGTACATCTGTATGCATAACAAGTAAAAAATTGGGGAATGTAAGAAAACGTGAACCTCAGGAGGTACAACACGTTAAAAACTCTAATTAATTGTTATAGTTTTAGTTAATTTTTATATGGAACTAGCTGTCCCAGTCCGCGTTGCCTGCCCAAAGTTTTGGTCTTTAATGCATATTTTTAAAGCTTAATAATTAACCTTTATATGGACGCTACTTTGAAACATTGACATTGGAAAATTTAAGCGAAGTGGTATTCTACCCCCTTAGAAGCTAAGATGCCGAATAAGGGCAAAATCAATTGAAAAATGTGACCAAGACCCTGAAAAAAGCTGAAATCAAGGGATACCTTCATATAAGGGTTATACCAAAGCATGGTCCCATACAAAATAAAATCTCAAATTACCAACATTTGGAGAGTTTCAAAGGGGATACATCATTTGAGGGGAGCTATATCACAATGCAGACCGACCTGATACATATTTTGTGCAAATGATTCTTCATGTAGCCCCTAGGACTGTATCAAATTTAAAGCTCTATCGTTATTTTTGCGGAGTATAGAGCAACATATTTGAAGGCCTTTGTGCATGGTTAAGCTATGGACCCTAAAAAGTTTGACCCGAGAATCCCACTTTTGGGATTTTATTTTCTACCAAACCCAATTTCCCAACCCCATGATTGTTTGCGGCGCAGACAAATTATATTCGTTATATCATCGTATTTAATACAATTTTCAAACCTCAATTATCAGTATTATAAAGGTAGAATATATACTTTTCATTCAGGTATAATAATACCACTAAAAATTAGTCCTTTTGCATGTTGAATTTTGTTATTTCTACCGAATAAACTGTAATTTAACATTTAAAGTTTCGGTATCAACTGTTTACTGTTGGTTTCCGGATCTTATGTGTTTTGATGCTTTGAGAAGTATATTTTAATCACAATAAAATTTTTTGGTATGGCAACCATAAAATTATATTATGTATAGAAAATATGCCAAATTTCCCATTTTTTTTTTTGGTTTTTTGTTTTCAATAAGAAAGAGGCATTCTGAAACAATTCTACACAAAATTCCATATCAAAATAGAACAGTACATTATTTTAGTTCTGCGATTTTTCCAGAGGATTTTCTCAAAATTTTCTTTCCTGAAAACGTTACCACTGTAATTACAAATAACCAAAAGAAAATTTTAGTCAAATCGGTCCAGCCGTTCTCAACTGATGTGTTACTATACTTATCTAAAATTTTTACATATAGATTGGAAGAAGTAGTTGTGGCCAGTTCCTCTGACCCCAAGTCAGATTACGTCGTATAGTAACTGTAGAACATATATCTTCATGATTGTGGCAAATATTAAGAGTGGGCGTTGCCACTTTTTCTTTGCATAAAAACTAAGTCGTGGTAGGATTAACAATTAAAAAAGTTAAACGGCTGGACCGTTTCCATAATTTTTTTGTACAACTACTGTTAACTTTCCCTCAAACCCTACGGATTTATGTGGGGGCTGAGGAACTGACCGCGCATACTTTTAATCTATCTATATATAAAAGAAAGTTGTGTTAGTTACTACGCTTATACCTCAAGAACCGCTGATCTGATGTTAACGATTCACACAAATTCGGAATTGAATTCAATTGAAATTTTCATTTTGACTTTTGAAGTGTGCAACAGTATTGTTTTATTTTGCATGATTTTTTCCATTTTGACTTACTATTTTCGAATGTACATTTGTAGTGTTTTTTTATTTTACAATTTTGGAGCGGCGGACCTGAATAGATCATGTCAAAATAATTTAACGTGGTCAAACCAAAGTTAAAAGATAATTACTTTTTCAAAATTGCTAAGAAATCAAAGAAAGAGCCTATTACATTGCAAAACTCTAAAATCGGGAAAAATAAGAGAACATTTTTTCAATGGAATCAAATTTCAAAATAAAAGTAGGGACCAAACTTCGTAAGGACTTTTAAACATTCGCTGTAAAAAGCGAACAAGTTGAAGATTTTTTTCATTTGTTTGTTAGTTACTTTTTTTGTTAGTTACTATGCTTATAACTCAAGAACGTTTTGACGGATTTTCACAATTCATACAATTTCGCAATGGAATATTGGAAAAAAATTGCGTAAAATATGCCAATAAAAATATAGAAGAAAATATCCTTTTGACGTGAAATTTTTTCAATTTAAAAACTATATAGAAGTGTACATTTGTAATTGTTTTGAATTCTGAATGAATAATATAAGAAATAATATCAAAAATAAAATAGTACGCAATACAATGTGAAATGGCAATCTTTCATGTCTGAAATTGGCATTTAGCTTCCAACTCCAGGATCTACATCGTGCTTCAGCTGGAAGATGCGAACACATTAAAACAAACAAAAATAACCAACAAAACGTTATGGGGCTAATTTCAAAACGTGGACCTACGTACTTCTTTCATATGACAATAATCCGTCCAGTGAGAACTCAATATGCAAATTCATTGGGACTGCAATCAATGAAATACCGAATATAAAGGGCACAAAATAGATAATAATGGTTACATTCATCAGAACTCTGATAACTTTTCAAAAAACTAAGCACTTTTAGTAATGAAACATTATCTATTGCCTAAAACGACCGTGGTATTCGATCTAAAATATCGAAATTGTATGTTGACAGTTTTACCTTTGAACATCATATCTTAGTAATGACTGAGACCTGGTTAAATGAACGTATTTTAAACTCGGAAATTCTGTCAAATAAATACAACATCTTTAGACGTGACGTGTAAGCAACGGCGGTGGAGTGCTCATAGCTGTCTCCAATACATTTTCTTGCAAATTACTGGATCTTGATTCTTCACTAAATATTGAGTTCATTGCCGTCGAAGTAAAAAACAGTTTGAAAAAAAAATGTTCATAACATGCTCTTATATTCCTCCATCATCACCGCAAATAATTTATAAAAAACATAGCCATGCATTAAAAGCAGTTTTACAAAAAAACTAAGCCAGAGGATCTAATTTGTATACTTGGCGATTTTAATATACCAAACATGTTGTGGAATTTTTACCTGGGGATAAATACCTGCTGCCTGAAAATATACACAAATTTTATGAATTACTAGCTGGCCCGGTCCGCGTTGCCGGCCCGTAGTTTTTGTCTATTATGCATATTTGTCAAAGCATAATTATTCACAGATATGACTGATATAAGTGTTCCCGTACTGGTCGATTAAAAGTGTTTTAAAATACCTGTACCCATATTTAAGCCGTGGGCTTCAAAGGTGTGGATGTGCTATACAAATCTATTAAAAAGTATATATCAATCTTATCCCCATGTAAGGGATCAAATTAATTTTTAGTATGGTAAAAATCGTAGCAAAATCTTCCAGTGAAATGAGCAGTAATTTGGAATTTGCTGTATTTTGTACACCTCATAATTGAGCGCTGAATGAATTAAGAATAGCCAAAGTTAATTACTTTTTTAAGCCATTAGCACCTCAGATTGTCCATTAGCGTTCTTATAAGTCCCCTAACCATGTCGGTCTGTTTGTCCGCCAAAAAGTGGACTTGAGGGGGTACTATTATATGGAAAAAATTCTAAAATTTGTAGATATGTTCATATTTTTGTGTAAGTTTTCACCCCCCAAATACACATTTTTAGCCAAATCCTTTGAAATATGGTAAAATCAGGAGATACTTTTACATGGGCACTACTCCGAGACATCGACCTACATTGAAAACATTCTTCTAGCCCTTATAATCCAATATGACAAATAGAGACCAAATCAAAAATTTAACAGAACAACATAGCATGTCAAACTGAAAAACATTCCGCGTGATTTAAATGAGTAAAAATAGTTTTATCCACCATATTATCATATAGATGTATTTCCCAAATCTACGTTTCCAACCAATATTCTCTTGAGAGTTACAAATCCAATAGAATACAAAATTTTCTTTTCTGACCACACATTATATGTGAAAGTGGACTTGGGGATACTCCAATGTGGGGACTTTACTTAAATAAATTCCTATGTGGCAATTATCTGTATGATGGTTCCCTAACCCCTTAGAGACAAAGATGCCAAATAAGGGCCAAAATATGAAAAAAGTGGCCAAGACCCCAAAAATAGCTTAAATCATATGATGGTTATATAAATATAAAATCGGGTTGTACCCTTATCCGTGAGTTATGATCGATATCATGACCTGCAAAAGTGATTTAAGGTATCTTGAATGTTTGGGAAGAATTCCTGGAAGGATAGAAATCCTTTTCTTACTAAAAGTCCCATTCGCTCTATTATTTTGCACCCTTTAAATTTGGTATTTTACTGATTGTACTTCCAAAGAATTTTGCATTTTGAGCTCTCATTGGACGGATTATTGTCACATGAAAGAAGTAGGTCCACGCTTTGAAATGAGCTCCATTAGGCTTTTTCTGTCATTTTTGGTTGTTTAAATGTGTTCGCAAATACAAATTAAAAAAAAATGACAAAAG